GCCCCGCAGATGTCTTTGATGAAGTAAAGACTTTGCTGGGCGGCAGCAGCTCTGCTGCTGCTGCTGCTGCTGCTGCTGCTGCTGCTGCTGCTGACGCTGCTGCAGCGGGTGTCTTCCCAGCAGCAGCGGAAGCCCAGCACCCCACCAGCAGCAGCAGCAGCAGCAGCACCAGCAGCAGCAGCAGCAGCAGCAGCAGCAGCAGCAGCAGCAGCAGCAGCAGCAGGCTGTGGGACTACTGGCGGCTGCAGCTGCTGGACCTTTCTGCTTTTGCCAAGGCTGTTTGCCGTTTGCTGCCGCTGCTGCTGTCGAGAGACACAGAGCGGACAGGGGCCCTTCTCAGTTTGCTGCTGGAGGCGGGGGCCCAAAACGCGCAGACAGAGCAGCAGCAGCAGCAGCAGCAGCAGCAGCAGCAGCAGCAGCAGCAGCAGGAGTACGCGTCTACGCTTCTCAGGCTTCTAGACGGGAGCCCGGCCCTGCAGCTGCAGCTGCTGGACAAGCTGCTGCTGCCGTCGGAGCCAAACAGCAGCAGCAGCAGCAGCAGCAGCAGCAGCAGCTTCTCACGGTACTTCTCCTCGCAGGAAAGCTACACGGAGTTTCTCCATGCTGAACTGCCAAGGCAAGCAGCAGCAGCAGCAGCAGCAGCAGCAGCAGCAGCAGCAGCAGCACAAACTATACCAGAGGCAGCAGTTACGAAATTTATAGAGACAGCAGCAGCAGCAGAGTGCAGTTTGCTGCTCCTCGGTTATTGCTGTTTTGCTGCTGTTGCTGCCGCTGCTGCTGCTGCTGCTGCTGCTGCTGCTGCTGCAGGTACTTCTCGCTGCTGTGCGGGGCAGATCCGTCTCGTGCTGCAGCAGCGCTGCAGCAGCTGCTGCCAGCAGAAGAGCAGCTGCCCCCCGACTTGCTGGAGTCTTTGCTGCTGGTCTCAACGCAGCACAAAGCAATGGATGTTACTGCTGCACTCCTAGAGCGCAGCGGCGCAGTTGAGGTCTGCTGCTGCTGCTGCTGCTGCTGCTGCTGCTGCTGCTGCTGCTGCTGGTGTGGCGTAGCTGCTGCTGCTGTCGCGTTGCTGCTGCTGCGGTCTGCCCACGGCGGTGGCGCTGCAGATTTGCTGCTGCTGGTGCTAGTGCAAAAGGCCCACAGGACAGCTTGCTGCAGCAAAAGGGGGCAGAGTGCGTGACTGGCTTTATCGACTCTTAAGCTGCAGCGTTGCCGATTCGCTCCAAACAACCTTTCTCGTTGTGCTTGTCTTGCTGCTGCTGTTGCTGCTGCTGCTGCTGCTGCTGCTGCTGCAGGGGACGCTGCAGCTGCTGGAGTCTTCATTTCGGGAAGCGCTGGAAAGCATTTCGCTGCAGTTTAATTCGAGTGTATATACACTGGGGCCGGTGCTGCGGTGTCTGCGCAGACGGCTGGCCGGCTGCAGCAGCTTTGGGCCTCCTGCAGCACAGTTTGCTGCTGCTGCTGCTGCTGCTGCTGCTGCTGCTGCTGAGGGGGGCACGGCCTACCGCGCGCTGCTGCAGCCCGGCGCACTGCAGGCGGCAGCCCCAGCAGCGGCGGCGCCTGCTGCTGCTGCTGCTGCTCCCGCAGCAGCAGCAGCAGCAGCAGCAGCAGGGGAGAGCTGGTGGGCGGAGTGCAAAGAACTAGCAAATGTCTTTCGTGCTGTTGAAGCAGCAAAACGAGTTTGCTGCAGCAGCAGCCACTTCATCACCCCCCGCAGGCAGCAGCAGCTCTGGCGCAGCATGGCGCTGCTGACTGTGCAGATCTACGAAGCAAACCCAATGACGCAGCACTTGCTGCAGCAGCAGCAGCAGCAGCAGCAGGACAAGCGGCAGCAGCAGCAGCAGAACAAGCAGCAGCATCAGCAGCAGGAGGACAAACAGCAGCAGCAGCAGCAGGACAAACAGCAGCAGCAGCAGCAGGACAAACAGCAGCAGCAGCAGCAGGAGCAACGGGAGAGCAACCAACTGGAGAAACAGCTGCCTGCCGTCGGCGCCTTGGGAGAAGGAGCTGCTGCTGCTGCCGCTGCTGCTGCTGCTGTTGAGGGTCCCGTTGCTGCTGCTGCTGCTGCTGCTGCTCCTGCTGGGCGGCAGCAGCAGCCGCTGCGCTGCACGCTGTTTACAGTGCTTCTGGGCGAGGTGCTTGCTGCTGTGCTGCGCTGCTACAGAAGCTGCACAACCAGCAGCAGCAGCAGCAGCAGCAGCAGCAGCAGCAGCAGCCTGACGGGCCTAGAGAAGCAGGCTTGCTACCCCACAGAAGCTGCTGCTGCTGCTGCAGTCATGGGCGAGCTGTGCCAGCAGCTGCCGCAGTCGCACGTTGCTGTTCTAAAGCCTGCTCTCGTATGCTGCTGCTGCTGCTGCTGCTCTCTGCTGCTTTATTCAAAGTGGCAGCAGCAGCAGCAGCAGCAGCAGCAGCATTATTGTCTCTCAGTTTATCTCCTGTGACTCTTTGTCTTTTATTTCTCTCTTCATTCTGCGATTGTTTGCTGCTGTTTCTGCACCAGCTGCTGTTGCTGCAGTTGCTGCCGCTGCAGCTGTTGCTGCTGCTGCTGTTTCTACTGTTGCTGCTGCTACTCCTTCCAGTGCTGCTGCTGCTGCTGCTGCTGCTGTCTTCTACCGTAGCTGTCTGCTAATGTGGCTCTCCACAAAGTGGAAATCCTACCCATTTGCATGCTGCTGCTGCTGCTGCTGCTGCCGCTGCTGCTGCTGCTGCTGCTGCTGCTGCTGCTGCTGCTGCTGCCGCTGCTGCTGCTGCTGCTGCTGCTGCTGCTGGTTTGTGTGAAGGTTGAGCTGTTGTCAGTGCTGGAAGGGGAGCGTTCGCTGCTGTCTACAGTTTGTGCTGCAGCAGCAGCAGACAGCAGTTTGCTGCTGCGGCTGCTGGCAGAGCGAAGGCTGGGGGGTCTTGCTGTGTCTCTTTCTGGCAGCAAAGAGGGCAGGAGGCAGCACGCTGCGCTTTGCTGCTGCTGCGGGGGCCCTTTGCTGCTGCCGCCCCCCACTGCTGCTGCTGCTGCTGCTGCTGCGCGCAGCAGCAGCAGCACCCCTAGTGGGACCCTCAGCAGCAGCAGCAGCAGCAGCAGCAGCAGCAGCAGCAGCAGCAGCTGGTCAATTGCTGCCTTTGCATGCAGCCACTTGTACCACACTGCCTGCCTGACTGCAGCGCTGCGCTGCCGCCTCTGCGCTTCTCTGTGAGCCTCTTGGGCAGCAGCAGCAGCAGCAGCAGCAGCTGCAGCAGCAGCAGCAGCTGCAGCAGCAGCAGCAGCAGCAGCAGCAGCAGCAGCTTTTAATTGCATGAGCTGCACTATTTGTTTTCCGACTGAACTTTAGCCGCGTCTGTGCGCCCTTCGCAGCAGCGCGAAAAGTGCTTTTCAGTTTTTTATTTTGCTGCTTTTTGCAGTTTATTATTTTCCAAAATAATTATTTATTTATTTATTTATTTATTTATTTATTTATTTATTTATTTATTTTTATTTTATTTTTATTTATTTGCCACTTATTTGCACTTTTCGCAGCAACTCCTCCATCCTATTTGCTGCTGCTCGCCCCGTGGCGCTGCACTATTATTTATGTTTGCTGCCAGATTAAAAGCTGCTGCAGCTGCTGCAGCTGCTGCAGCTGCTGCAGCTGCTGCAGCTGCTGCAGCTGCTGCAGCGCTGCAGTGCTGCTGCAGCGCTGCATTTCTGCTGCAGTGCTGCTGCAGCGGTGCAGTCCTGCTGCAGTGCTGCAGCAGAACTGAGGCAGCACGACTTCACGCGGAAGCGCAGTAGTCAGCACCCCGGGTTTGCTGCAAAGCGCTGCTGCAGCAGCATCTGCAGCAGCAGCTGCTGCTGCTGCAGCAGCTGCTGCTGCAGCAGCTGCAGCAGCAGCTTTGGTTGGGGGTCTTTGCTGCGTCTTCTTTTCTCTGCACCTTTTGCCGTACTTAGCGGCTCTCGTGGCCCCTTCGGTGCCGCTTCTTTGTATAGTTTCTGCTGCTGCTGCTGCTGCTGCTGCTGCTGCTGCTGCGGCTGGCAGGCAGCAGCAGCAGCGAGCGCTGCAGCGCAGCAGGCTTCTGCGGGCCCCAGTGGCTGCTCATCTTCACTAAATTTAAAAGTCTAATTAATTTTTATTCCGCAAAAGCCGCGGGAAGACAGCAGCAGGAGGCGGGCGGCGGGAGCGCGGCAGGAGTCTTCGGGTGTACGCGCAGCGCAGCAGCTCGCGGGCTGCAGCCGCCGCCGTTGAGCGTCACTTAATTTCTTTTTGCGGAAATTCTTCAAATTAAATGAATTAACAATTAAAATGGAGAAGAAAAAAGGCAAAGACGAGCCGGCGGCTGCGCAGGCAGCAGCGGGGGCTGCCGCCAGAGGCGCCGCTCTACACCGCGACAGCTGGGGCTGAGGGGCCCCTTGAGAACGCGCAGAAGAGGAAAAGGAAGAAAATGAAAAGTAATAAATGAAAAGAAAATTGAATTTAATTGCTCGAGCTGTATGTACACTCCAATATTTCCTTTTCGCCGTCGCCAGCAGCAGCAGCTGCAGTGACACCCCAACTCGGCTGCAGCCGCAGGTGCTGCGCTGCTGCTTTGTGCCTCCTTTTCCCCTTTTTCTGCGACTTTTTTCTTTTTATTTTATTTTTAGTTTCTTTTTGCTGCTTTTCACCGAAAGTGAAGCCCCGAAAAGGCTCCCAGACCCCCCAGCAGCAGACAGACGGGCATGCAGCAGCAGCCCGGCGCTGCGCAGACACCACGCAGCAGCTGCAGCCACAAGAAGCCGCACGGCTCTTTCTTTTAGCTGCAGCGCAGCAGCAGCAGCAGCAGAAGCAGCAGCAGCAGCAGCAGCAGCAGCACGGCGGTGGCGGCAGCGCAGCAGCAGCAGCACCAGTTGCAGTGTGGTGACAGCTGGGGGCGAAGAAGCGATGCAGCACGAGCAGCAGCAGCAGCAACGACGGCAGAAATAGCAGCAGCAACAGCAGCAGCAGCAACAGCAGCAGCAGCAGCAGCAGCAGCAGCAAACAGCTCCTTTTTTAGTCCCGCAG